TATATATAGTATATATATATATATATATATATATATATATATATAAACATATGATATTTTTTGTTTCAAAAATCAATTACAATGATATTCCAATAACATATATTACATAGAAATATTGCTAAGGGACTATTCTATGAAATCAAATCATATATGACGTAAATGTTAAACTAAATAGTCCCTGAGTTGCGCTACTTTCCAGCGTAGTTAAAGCATAAATAAATTCTCTAAGCTTTTATTCTTGTGTGAGTCGTTATGTTAGCTGAAGATACTGGATACTTTAGATAAGATACCATAATTGAATATAAAATGATTTTGTCCAAAGTAAAATTTAGTTTTAAATTTCATGTGAGAGTTAAAAAGTCAGTTTGTATTATATCATTCATATTAAACAACAGCATCAACAACAAGAAGAAAAAAGACTGGAGTTTTTCAACTGTGAATGTTTTAAAATCATATTATTTATTCAATTTTGTTTAAAGCTATAATATGCTTTTTGGAGTTTGTAAATCATAAGACCTGTTTCTAAAACTTCTAATGTAAATGCATTTTCAAAAACTACATTTAATGAGGAAGGAAACATGTATGAAAAAGATGAGTGATATCAAATGGATTTATAATGGATAATTTCCTGAAAGATTTCTTTGTTGAGATGACTTTTCACATTTCGTTTATCTTATTACTCACGAAAAATTATCGAAACGTCGTTTCTAACAAAGAAACCTTCCAACAGGTTTTCGTTTATAAATCATTTTACAGTTGATCCTCCTGCTACCCATAACCTATAAAGGAGCTGAGTAATATAAGTTAGGGAAAAGTATTATATAATTTCTAAATAAATATAACAAATACATTGAGTATAGCTTTCATAATTTTATTTTAATTTAATTTTCACTTTGTTAAAGCTTTAATACGGTTGTCAATTTTATGAATGGTTGTTTTTGTAACAAAGCTCCAACCAGTCGTCAGAAATTTTGATAATTAACATAATTTACTCAAAGTATATAAGCGACTGCGTTATATGCAGTTATTTGTGGTTTGTTAAAGTTACAATTTTTAAATGAATTTTATGTTTTATTTTTTCTTCAGCAAGCATTTTGACCCAATGCCATGTATTTTATCAGTCATTAAATTTTATATACTACTGCTTCTTACGAACATCAAAACTCTCGGGAAATAGGTTTTCTGACAACTAACAAATACAACTCATTAACAACTAAACTGGTTTAAAGGGCTATTTGGGAAGCGCGTGAGAGTGGCCCAGAATAAAACTTTAACTATTTTGTCGAAGTTTCTTAAAAACCTCGAATGGCTAACTTCCCTGTATCCTAAACTATATTGTGAAACAAATTGGAACAACATTTTCAATTTGAAGAAAGGCTACTTTTTAAAACTTTGAACTTAAAGTAAACTAGTAAGTTCAATAAAATTGTTAAAGAATAACGAGACTGATAGGCCAAACCCAATGGCTAAAATAAATCTGTATTTTTAATACAAAGTCTGAAAGTCGATGAAACCTAAGTCGGGGATTGGGTAGGCTACATATTGGCCGGACTGTGTTATTCTTGCACAACACAGTAGAAGTGCTCATGTTGGTCAAATAAAAAGCACTTAAGAATATTAGATTCTGCTTGGTCTAAATCATAGATAAAACCATCCATTGGTCTACATTCCCTCATATGTAGTGTCGATGCTGCTGCTCTGATGCTACTGCTACTTTTACTGTTTTTGCTATCACTGCTACTCGATTTGCTTTTCTACAACTAATGCTGCAACAAATACTGCTATCTCTTCCTTTACACACACCAGACTAGCTCCTGCAACCGACCTGGAGAGTATAAACCATCACATTCCGAGCATAAACTATTACAACAAAGACAATGACGACTGGGCATGTCTTTCTTAGCTATGTATATTGAGAGAAATTAAGAAAAAAGCGAAGAAAATGACTTTACAGAGCTGAGAAACCAGAACTGTATTGTGCAAGTATTGCGTTTTGTATGCGATTTTGGATAGGATATTTTTTACTCTATCGTAATCTGGAAACTAGTGCAAATTCAGATTCCAGATATCGAAAGGAGTTCAAACTTTTATCCAGAATCAACCCACCCACTCGCAGATCAAATGTTAAATTAATTCAGTCTTGTCATTAGATAGCAGCGTGTTTAGTGTATGCTAATACACTGTAGATGAAAAATGGAATACCACAACTTAGCACTCTGACAAAAATAATACTTTGTTAAAATATTTCTAGAGCGATAAAAGGTTAAGTAAATATTTCATTTTATTAGTTTTTCTCAGGAAACAAAAAATTAATTTGACTAATTTAACAATGGAAAGACAGCATCACGAAGTTCAATAAGTTATTGTGTTTAAAAACTGGTAAAAATAAACATAATTTAAACGTTTTAACTTTCTATTAGTCTAAAGTTTAATATAAACGACAAAAACATTACCCCTAGGTTTCCTCGAAAGATTTTTAAGACAAAGCTAAAGTTAATTTAAAATAAAAGATATATCATCGCTAGGTAACATGTTCATGTCGTCTCTCTATATAACATACATACTAAGCTTGGTGAAAGTCTATTAAAACTGTAATAGGAATTGATTTAAAAAAAATGCTTCTTGCATTTTGCTATAAAGTTAATTTAAAAGGATATACCTTTATAGGTATTTGTCATCGTTCCCATACTTAGAGAACCGTCTTTAATAACAATTATGGTCCAGAGAAACTATCAGAAGTACCGAAACAGTTTACAGTTAGATTAATACCAAAACAATTTATTCTACTGCATTGTTGGTTGTAGCGAGTTCCTTGAAAATATTCCTTGCAAAAATATATTTTACCTACTAGTAAAGCCAGTATATTCTCAACTTAAAAATATATTCATACTTGTGAGTAGTCGCAAAAAATAGAGGAATTCTATAAATAATATTATATACGATACGATCAAAGTGGAGTACACTTTTGAAATATGAATAATTTACGAGATTGAATACTGGGAAGTGTTTAATACGGTGAAATTATGAGTTTCATTCTATTGTATGCAAAGCTATTTTGATATAGTAACAGATTACGTAAAGAGAATATGTAACAGTTCTTTCAGAAAAGCTTACACAACGGATTATATATTACGTGGTTCTTCAAAAAATAATGAACAAAACAACAATATTGAATAACTGCAAAATACCATATTTTTATGTCTTGTTTTACTCCAGTTTGAGGTATAAGAGGTTGACATTAAAATTATTTAAAAAATGACACAATATAAACAGCATAAATCTACTATTAATTTGAAGTTAATTCTTGTCCCACTAAACTAAATGCACAGTATTTGAATAAGTTGTTGTAGTAGTTAATATTTCCCAAGTTAAAAAAAATTAAAGTGATGAAAAGCTTCTGGTTATTTATTGTGATTATGTTTTGTGGCTAGTAAATTTTTGATGAATTATGAGATTTTTCTAATAATTGTTAATATAGGGAATAATTAAATATTTTCAAATTTTACAAAAACATTAAGAAAATAATAATTCGTGATGGTCAGTTTTTACTAGTTTTGTAAAGAGTAAGGGAATGTGCGTTATTATTTTGCTTAAGAGAAACTTCCCATATGTTATCTGAAACAGACGTTCAAAGTGTTGCAAATTATTAAAGATTAATGAAGTGCGAAATATTATCCACGAACTGTCACACTAGCAACGGTAAAATGTATATTTTAAACATATCTCAAGGCTTTTAAAATGTTAAAAAATGTATGTGTTTTACTTAGGCACCGTTTTAAATTTTTGCAGGATGATAATGTTGGAACTGGTGATCAGCTAATTACATCTAATTCTTAACTATTTTCCTTTATTGTATTTAGATGCTACCAGGGTAGACGAGTGTAGAATATTCTTTGAAATCTATGTTGAAGTTAAAGGATGATAAAAAATAATCAATAGAAATGTGTTAACGCATTGCCTCATTTTTACTTCAAGAAAAAAAGAAATAGGAATGAAACTCAGAGGCATTGCCTAAAAACCATAACAATAATGGCCTATGTCTGGTTTACTTTCAAGATTCAGTAAGAAAGATATATTAGTTGCTTTTGAACTTGAAAGAATTCATATACTGCTATTGAAATTTCTATAAAAATTAAGTTTTAACACTTTCAAACAAAAATATTTTATCTGTGATTTCATAATATAAATATTTTACAATAATTATTAACTATAGAAATGATCTGAAGATTCGAAGTGCAAAATTACTCTCGTTTAGAAGATGTCAATTATGCGTTAGAGAAATTTAAAAATTGTTAATATAATAGTGGAAACAATGCGAAGTTTTAAATTAGAAAACGGTTATCATCTAGTCGAAATACTTATGTATGTTTTGTATTGTATGTAATCACAAATGCAGACAGTCAGAATCCTCTAGACATTTAAGCAGTAGTTAATATTGGACATTTGAATACTTAAGGAAATTCGGTGTTTCTTGTTCCTGTTTTTTTTTTTTTCATCAGGAACATAGGATCATAAGGCTGTGAATGAGGAATAGTCTTAAAATAAATTTAAGTGAAATTTCAATTATTAAAATCTATTTTATGTAAAATCATTTTTTGCTTTTCTGAATAAGTGTTTGATGGCACGTATAACTTTAATTCATCCAAACTCTCACGTGTTTAAGGAAATTTATTTTTAAGCTTTGAAAATTAAGAAAAACATATTTGATTAGAAAGCTATGAATTAATCAATTTCAGTCGTAATTTACTAAAAGTTTTGCTTATTCGCATTAATCTAAATAAAATCTGATTGTTAATATTTATGCCTCTTCTTTAGGTTTTTATATCTTTATGTTATATATGCTATTTTTAAATAGTTTTTGATGTTTCAATTAATTCCTTTGTTAATTTGGTGATAAACGCTGATAAAATTCACCCGTGAAAAAACAGATAGTAAAAACACATTAGAAGTGAAGTGCAGTTATTTTATTACTGATAACTTAAAGACTATACAGACGACAAACAAAAGCTGTTAAAGCATAAACAAGCTAAATAAATTGAAATATTTGAATATTTTTACATTTGAATATATGCAGGGCAGACAAACTACAGAACACGCGGCAGAAACGAAAAAGCTGGTGACTGGACGAGTGACTGGGGATGTAAATTCTGCGAAAATAAAAATTGCATATAATTAATCTTTTGAGTTGTAAAAACAAAACTGCAAAAAATAATACATTCTTTACATTGAAAGATGTGTTCTAATTCAGAAATATATAAAAATATAAATTGACAATTCGTGAGACTTATTCATCTATTTGATGCAGTGTATCCATTTGCTCATGTGTTCAAGCAAAATGACACAAATCTAACTTATGTTTAGATCAAAATATTGTTTTTAGAACAAGTTAGTAGTTTCTTTTTCATGAAGACTCTTGCATTTATCGGATTTTAAGAAGTTAAACGTTAATTATTAAATATTTCCTATTCAACCCTATGAACGTTGAAAAAAGTTTACGAAAAAGCAACAATCTTGTTAATATTTTGATATATATGCAAAACTCCGTCTGATCAAATCAGGATACTGTAGATTATATCAACAGAATTACTCATAATTAATTATTTTGCTGAATATTAAAAAAGAAACATCTCTGAGTAGGAAATTATAATTTAACCCTAAAAAAAGAACATTTTAATAATACTTGCAATTTACAAAATATTTGTTCGCCACTGATGGCTCAGTGATGGGCTAGGGCTCCTAGATGACCAAGTCCAAGTCCTAGTCCGTAACCACCAACACCATAGCCATGTCCCAGTCCGTAACCGCCAATACCATAGCCATGTCCCAGTCCGTAACCACCAACACCAAAGCCACCTCCCAGTCCGTAGCCTAAACCATAACCACCGAATCCAACAGCAGGTCCGTGAGCAACAGCAGCTACGGCAGGGGCTGCAAATGCAGCAACAGGGGCGGCAGCAACAGCAGCAACGGGGGCAGCATGAGCCACACGAACGGTAGCTGGACCAACTGCGGGTATTCCAGGCTGGCTAGAGACGACGGCAGCAGCGGCAGGAAGGCTGGTGGCAGTGCCCTGTTCATTGGTATGGATTTTGGCGCGGAATCCAGCTCCATCAGCTACGTAGTTGACATTTCTGGCACGACCGTCGATATCTCTGATAGTGTAAGAACCAACCTGGTTGCCGTGAGCATCACCAGCTTCCCAACGTGAGTTGGATGCACCAAGAGGATCCGTAATGTGGTAGTTAAATCTGTAATTACCAAAATCCTGAAAGGAAACAGATATATAGTATTTTTTTTTATTAATGTCAGTTATGAACCTTAGGAGGGTGTTACTTATTTTCAAACTGACAGAGCTAATAATAAAAACGATATAGTATTAAATATCTCAGTCTTTTATATACATGTTGTGTATATATATACGTTGTCTATAGCTCAGAAACTTAGAAACCCAGTCAGAAACTGGGCATTTTTTAAACTCCTTGATTATTGATGATAAGTATGTATTTTTCTGGTTGTAAAACAAACTCTTTTCAAGGATCGTTCCCCTTTGACATACTACAATTAGACAGGATTGTAACTGCAACTTCAAAGTTACAGTTACAGTTAGACAGTAACTGTAACTTTATTGTAACTTCCTGCATGCCTATTTCTTTCTATGAATAAAATGATAGAACATTTTTTGGTTAACAACATTATATAGACAAAATGAAATTTTTTAAAGATTTTGTAAATATATTTTTTTAACCTCAATAGCGAGTACGTTCTGAACTAATGGAATGTCAATTTTTTAAACTGTTTATAATATCTTACACAATAAAAAATTGCATTTCTTTAAAATGCATTTGGAAAAGGCGTGACTTAAAATTTTGATAACTTTGGTTTTAGCTTTTTGCAACCTATGAACAAAGTTTGATTCCTAATTGAATGTCTAGTTAACTATCAAGAAATGCGTGAAAAAGATCTTATATTAAGTAAAAGCCAAGGTAATACTTGATTTTTTGATAATTTAAGAGTTTTTTGGTAACGAAAAGTCTTATAAATTACATCTATTTATCGATCTTTGAATATTTTTAGCTCACTGATAAATGTACAGATGAATGATCCTATCCTCCAATGAAGAGACTTGACTCACCACTGCCTCAACAAGCAACATAAATATTTTGTTTATTGGAAAAAATCTGACTCTTATGCCACTTATAAATCAGTTTTTTGCTCATTAATAGCGTCATTGAATATATAAGTATTTTAATAATAAAATATACCATATGAAATCCCTGCTATATCGGAATAAGCGAGGATTTTACCTTGAATTATACATTTTATGAGTATGTGCAGTTCACTGTTTCCTAAAACTCCATATACTCCACTTTCTCGTATTCTGTAAAAAACTTAGTTTATACTTTCGTTGTTGATGGTCCTTAAAATTCAATATGTATTTGAAAATACATTTAAAATGGTCTTCAAATACAGTTATACGCCAAGTATATTATTTGAGTTATTTTTTATACATTTTCCAAACATACTTACGTCTTGAGAACGAGAAGTTGTACTGACACCACCGGCAGCACCGTGGATGAATCCACCTCTGGCTACAGCTACGACGGCGAGCAACACGGCAATCTGTTCAAAGAGCAACTTTCAATTTAGCCATTTATACCAGTAAAGCAACATAATACTGAGCATCGACACGTCTTAGATATTCGTACTTGTTACTAATCTATTAAACAAGTTAGAGTGTTGAACATTCAATTAATTGTTGCAAGTTTTATCTGTAAGTTCTGCAGAAAAACAAAAAAACGAAACCACCAACTATAAATACCATTTTGAATAAAATAATTTAATATATCAAAGCGATTTGAAACATAGAAATATGGTTTTACGAATACTTACCTTCAGCATTCTGAATTATTAACCTGCTTTGAGTTCAGCGGTGACGGTAATTGAATGTGTGATGTGGAAATGATCTCCGCTGTCTTTTATATATTCCTAAAGTACGTTACAAGTAATAGGGATAACGTCAGACTGGTACAAAGGTAACGCAACCTTGGTCAGTACAGTTTTTGTTTTCCCCATTTTTTCTTTTTCTCTCTATCAATTTAGATAAAATATTGTTGTCTACCTTGAGTGTAGTATGTGTAAATCTATGTGACACGCAAGAGCTTCGACAAGTTTCGCATAATCGACTTGCAAGTTTTTCGTGAATTATGCCGAAATGCCACCACATACGAGGTCGTTTGTAGCCAGACTTTTACCTATACTTCCGCTATAACCTGGACCAGCCTAGTATGAAGGTGAACCACCTTGTTAAAGTGTCCCACCTTGTGTAATATGGGTTATGAGATAATATTACGATTAACTGACCTTGGATGTGAAACAGCTATGCATTTATAGAAACTGGTTCAAAAAGGGTGTGCCACTGTCTAACGGGTAGTTATGTTCTAGCTTTTATTATTTTATATTAGATAATAAGATTTCACATTTTAAGGTTTCAAATGTTGATGTTTCCTTTAGTTTTAAATAAACGATATGTATCTTTATCAATCACTGCTTTAAAGTAAAATTTTATTTAACATAAACTAGAAAATTCGATTGGAAAATTATCCAGAAAAAAATTCTCTAATGAAGGAATCTGGAGCCGAATAGAGGTAAAAGTGTGGAGCGTTTTCTCCAATGTTGTAGCACAAACCTTGGACCTTATGATTCGCAGCTCGGCATGCTAACCATTAGGTATACACACGGTCTGTATATTTTGTTATTCGAAAAGAAATTTACTAACAAGACATGCAGGTTTCAGAAAATGTAGCTTTTCTGTGACGTTAACTGCACTGAAAACGACAGAAAACGTCGAAGACAAGAGCTTTGATAAATATAGCAATACATTATCTAATTATAAAACAATGTGAAACATTGATGGTCATTTGTAACATATAACAAAATTACAAACTAATGAAACTTCATACTTTATATTTAATATAAAAATTACTCAATGGTGGTTTTCGTAATTAACGCTTACTTAAAAAGAAAAAACAACAACTTTACACGGTATTCTTTAGTTTGGTTGTTTTAAATCAAAGCCATAGAGGGCTATCTGCTATACCAAAGCGTGGTATCAAACGCTGAACTTCAGCGTTGTAAGTTCGTAGACTTACCGCTGTCCCACCGAGTGACGTATTCTTTAGACTCATCTAATCTCTTGGTCGCAGGCTCGAATCCCCATCCCACCAAACATGCTCGCCCTTTAAACCACGTGGACGTTATAATGTTACGATAAATCCCACTATTCGTTGGTAAAAGAGTAGCCTAAGAGTTGGCGATGGGTGGTGATGACTAGCTGCCTTCCATCTATTTTTCACTGCTAAATTAGGGACGGCTAGCCAGATATCTCACGTGTAGCTTTGCGCGAAATTCAATTCACACATTTATTATACAAATGTTTTTAGGTGAGCTCTGTAAGAGAAGGTTTACAGTAGAGGTACGTAACACACACACACACACACTGGAAATAATACATATTCTATGTTTGTGCATTCAAGTATGAGTTTTCGTTAAAATATTGAACATAGAAAATAATTAAACCAAAGAATGACTGTTAAAGATATTTAGCGAAGCCAAATATTAATTTTTCGTTTTTTTATGCAATATTACTGAAGTTTTATGCTCGAATAAATGCTTACGTAAACCTCAAACTTTAATTTGTAATGTCGAACTTGATTGAAATATCATTTTAGTTCTTTATCTGTTAAATCTGTATTTGAACTGAACACTCAGTGAGAAAAATTTACAAATCGTAATACTAAAACAAGGCAGATATTTGCTACGGAATGATTTACAATACTAATACTGAAAAACGGCAGTTTATTTCAATTAAATGACAAATGTTAATTTGTTTCGCACAAAATATAGGAATGTCATCCCAGTGGGGGAAAATATTTTGATTATGGCTAATTTGCTGTTATTTGTTCACTTTTGCTATTTTCTTGAAAATAATTAATATCGAGCTAAGAACTTGCAAATATTTAGTTACAGCAAAGGAATTCAAATATTACGTATTATTTCAAATGCTACTGTGTAGTTGGGTTTGAGTTAGAATGCATAATATAAAGTGGACTTGCATGTCGTCTTTAACGGAAACTCTCGTTTCTGTGGATACCAAATTTCTGGAAATGTAGGCGCTTTTATATACATTTCTAATTTTAACTTATACAAACCTCCTAAATGCAGAAATAGGTGATATCTCTCAAGTAGAAATGACAAGTATGTACAAGAAAACAAAAATTTCAAATGATCTAGGCTTAGCAACTCAGACAGATGTCCAATAATAGAAAACAGTTTGCATAATAGAGAGGGACAAATAAAACCAGGGTATAAACTGATAAAAACTCTAGAACCCGAGCGCTTTCGAAAGGTGGACTTTTCTTCCTCTGGGGCAAACTGGGAATAAACTATAATGTGGGTAAGATAAAACGTACCCTGCCTATCAGTTTTAATAATTCTATTGGCAAGCATCAATTTAGGAAAATAGAAGGAAATTCTGAGGCTTGCGAGTATAGGTTAATTTGTTAAACAGCAAATCCCTAGCGCTATGTGGGTCTATATATCTCCACAGATATCTAAGATACCTTTTACCATTATCGCGTTAGTAATTTGTACCCTATTTTTATTTGAATTTAAATTCGATGACGAGGAACCCGCTTTGAGACTAATAATGCTTGGAGACGGCTTGATGGGTAATGAAGAAAAACTTTAATATAAGTTTAATATAACAGCAAATGTACAACGTTTCGACAAGGTTCTGTCATCATCAGGTACAAGTAGTTATGTTAAACTTATATTAAAGTTTTTCTTCATTACCTATTCAAGTCGTCTCCAAGCATTACTACTTTTATTTGTCTCTCATTTATGTGCAACGCTTTTCGTATTTGAAATTGTTTGTCTGACAACTTTTTTATTTTATTAACGTAACTGTTAGTTAATTTTTTATAGGTATATACTAATATTGTCACTTATATATTCGTATATATATTTACGTATATATATATATATATATATATATATTACATTTTCACCTAATATGATTTTTGATTACTATTATCCGTTGAATGTAAAACTTCAAAACATATATTTTAAGCAATCATATATATAAGATAAAAATTTCAACTCCGTTTCATTTGCCAGACTGGGTGTTTCTGTCTTCACTATCGTTTGATAACCAGGCATTACGCCTGTCGACTGGTGTTTAATCCTTTATTTAATTAAGATAATGTTAAACTGTACGAGTAAAGCTTTCTATTATGTCATTAATTTTACAAATTTCATTCCACTCGAGCCCTTTGGTGTATCCGTGGTAAGTTTTGACTTGCAATGCAAAATCCTGGGTTCGATTCCTCGTGATGGATAGATCGCAGAATACCAGTTGTGCAGATTTGCGCTAAAAGAACAAAAGTTATACTTTGAATCATGATATTTAAAACATAACCTTAGTAGATATGAACTGCATTCATTGCATTGTAATAGTAAAATGCAGGCTCTGATGGCCATGATATGTAGTTTTTAGAATTAATAGTGTTCATATGTAGAATATGTAGATTTTACACTAAGTATAATTTCTACCGACTGATGTGGACTTCTGTAGATACAAATGCTATGAATCTCAAGGATGCTAATTTATTATGATCTTACAATGAAAAGTGAACCTTTTTTAAAAAACAAAGCATTGGTATACGAGTTTAAATACAAAATTAGGCTAAAAATCACTATCATTTTTACTATCGCTCAAGGTAACACTTGAATCAATCTACTATGAATTCAATGAACCTATCTATATTGGTATTATAAACCCATAATATGAACATTTTCCTATAGTTGTTTATTTAACATATATTACTTTACAAAGACTCACTGAAAGTTCCGTATTTATATTACAGTCAGACCACAAAATAAGACTTTATCCGTTAAGATAATTGGGAATATTTCCAATTAAAGGCAGGAAATGATTTCGGCTCAAAGGAACTAAGAATAAATATTAAAACATTGAGAACAAGTCTTCGAATTGTTTTAGTTTCATCTATATGCATTCTGGCCAGATTTTCATGATGTACAGCAATAAGTGCTATCTGAAATATCGAAAACACTATCTACGTACATGCATGCAGATGTCTGTACCAAATTTAAATAAAGTCAGCGTTTGCTCTATTCAAGTGTGTTGTTTGTTTTAAGCACAAAGCTATACAATGGGCTATTTGCGCTCTGTCCACCGCCGGGAGTCTAATGTCGGATTATAGCTTGTTAAGTTTTAACTAATCGCTGACTCACCAGAGGATTTATGGCGTGTGAACTAACGCAAAAGTAAAACTAGTTTGAACACTGTGTTAACTATTTGCTAAACGGAAGAAAATCATACATAACTTAATACTAACATATTGTATATATTTATACTTTTCAGCTTTACCTTCATTACGTATAATATAAAAAAATCCAAAAACATTTCTAAGAGCTTTGTGTTTCTATCTATTTGTTTGACCAACAGGCATTGTGTTAGTATTCAGGATATTCAATTAAGTGAGTATGTTACAACTACAAACGGTACAATTAACGCTTTTCTATTATGTAGGTTGATATACAACACAATAGGTCAAATTGTACGAATTAAATAAATAGTTTTTGTTAATTTTTGTTGTTGTTAAACATAGAGCTACACAATGGACTGTCTGTGCTCAGCCCACTGGAGGGCTTTGAAACCCAAGATTTATGGTTATAAGATATTGTTATTAAATACCAACCTGATAATTAAGATTCAGAGAGTTATTTGTGAATTGATTAAAACTAACTAATGAGCGAGGACACGTTTAAAGATATTTGTTGATTTGAATTGTCCAGAAAGAAGCGTTAACTGTCACAATCACTAACAAAATGACTACTTGTATTTATTCTAAGCAACACAATTACTAAATAAAACATGTCTGAGT